TCCCTTAGAACTACACCAGAAACAGTATCAGTGTGAATTCTTTCACGAACTTCTGTCGGGTTGAATACTTGCTTGGGCATCTTACTAGCAAAATAACGAGCAAGGCTCTCGACCGTCTCGTCGTCACATCCCTCGTTACCTTGCTTTTGGGATAGTAACTGCTGAAAACCGTGCGGAAAAGCTGGGTCGAAATGGATTCGACGAGTATACTTTAATTTTTGATAATTTCGTTCAAGCTGTTGATGAGCTGTCTGACTTCCCTGGTCGTCACCCGGTCATTACTGTCCTCAGGTCTTGCAAATCCAGGATTCGAACATGTAGCGGTGGTAGCTTCATTTTCATTGCGAAGGCTTCTCCTCTTCCGGGGTACAGTCGACGTTTCGAAGTTTTCCATGGGGAAAGCTGTCTTCTTCGTTGGGCGTTTGTAGGAGTGGGTTCGGGCCCTCTCGAGGACGGGTCATCCTCCCGAGGCTTTTGGCGCCACATCGCTTGTCGTTTAGATTAGTGCCGAACGTGCCTCAGCAGGGGCCCATTTCCCTGCGATTTCGCTGTTCCGAACAGTTCTCATCCCCCACGTGGAGGGAAGCCGAAGTGCCAACTGGCTGCGCAAGAGTGGGGATCCCAGCCAAATCGATCGGGATTTACCGACATTCATTTCCCGTCATGGGCCTTACACTAGATCTCGCACGCGGTGCGATCTGCGTTTTTCTTATCAGTCTTAGAGTATTATTCAATCACTCTTATCCTGAGTTTAACTATCATGGATGGTACGGTACCACTGCCACTGCTGGCGTCGTTCGCGGGGTTGTCGGTTTCGCCCTCGATACCTCATACGTCTCCAATAGCCCTATTGGAATTATGGTGGTATCTACGAGGCTTCTACCAATGGCCCGACCGACGAAGCTCCCTACGGCACCTGCAATTGTTGCTCAATGTCCCACCATCGTACCAAGGAGTATGAGCGTCCCAAGCCCCACCCCAGTGGCTTCGTGAAGGGAAAACTGGTTACTCTCGAGTAACTGCACCGCGCCAGCGAAGTACAGGTTCTCCGGAAAATGTTCGACACGGAGAAACAGAAGAAGTCGCGACCGGTGAGGATTTGAGTAATTTCAATTCCAATCATTGAGTCCCAATTGTGCCGACCGTCAAGCCCCGCTCCGAATTGCTAAGCCCGGGGTCGAAGGCTTGGATCGTATAAGCATTAAATTGACCAGTGAATTAGATTCAATTAGCAGCGACACAGAGCGAAAACCCAATCATGACGCTGCAGGAATCCACGGGGGGGCTATGTAGGAGCCTTTGAAAAATTAATTGTTGAACCCGGGCCTTGATCGAGGTTAGTGTTAAGGCCGCGGCCTTTACTTTTAGCCGGGATCTTTCCTTTTGGGCCGTTGTTGACTTTCCATCCACTTGAGTCAATACAGGCACAAATTTCTCCAATGCATGACCCCATAGTTGGAAGAGGAAAAGATCATCCGAGTGGCTGCAAAGCTATATGATTGTAACCGATCTTTGCAACATTGACAGACACTAGCGCTTGACTCCCGCTTAAATCGATATTAATTCTATCTGATCTCCTAGCTCGTGGTTGCTGAGTTTGATCTAATTGGTGATGAGCACCCAAACCTTCACATCGGATATCTCGGATGGACTACCTGAAGCTCCAGTTCTGGGCTGGATCACTCTGTACGAGCGTTTTTACGCGAAGGATTGACTTGGTGGGAACGTCCGTATAAAGTCCCACGTGGGGTGAAGACGAGCATCTTCCATCATGGATTTCATGCAAAAACCAAGTATAAAGGCACTCGGGCTAACTGCTATTGAAAATCATTGTTCTGTACAGCGAAGAATTCTCATCTCTTCAAGATCAAAGAACAAGACAATCAGCCCAAATGCATTCCAGTGCTCTTGTTGGCCTCCTGGCCTTCGCCGCTGCTGCGACTGCTGCTCCCCAGAAGCCTCGCGTCCCTCACTCGCCTTCTTCCATTGACAACCTGAAGTCCCACATCAAGAATGTCGTCGTTCTGGTCATGGAGAACCGCTCCGTAGACAATCTTCTTGGTGGTCAGACCATTCCCGGTCTGGAGAACCCCATCAAGAACGGACCTTTCTGCAACCCTTATAATGTGACCGATCCCTCCCAAGGATTCCACTGCTCCGCTGCTAAGGACTTTGACTCCGTCACTGATGACCCTAGCCACGCTGTTACCGGCAACACCATGGAGTTCTTCAGCCAGTGGACTCCCGACAACACCGCCATTGCCGATGGCAAGTTAGTTCCCAACAATAATGGTTTCATTCACGAACAGATTAACAACCATGGCCTTACCGCCAACGCGACTGTCAAGGCTATGCTGGCCGAGCAGGTCATGAACTACTACACCGAGGAGCAGACCCCCGTTCTGACTGCGCTGGTTCAGAACTACCTGACCTTCAACCACTGGCACTCCGATCTTGCTGGTGTAAGAAGAATCCTTGAAGTCCTTGCTTCTAGACCATTATACTGACTGAACTTAACTTAGCCTACCGATCCAAACCGTTTTGCTGTTGTTGCTGGTACTTCCGGTGGCCACGGTTCCAACGATGCCACTTTCTATACCTACACCTACACCCAGCGCTCTATTTTTGAGCAGCTCGGGGAGACCAACCACACCTGGATCAACTACTGGGATACCGCTGGTGGTACTGGCCCTGAGGCCAAAAACTTTGTCTGGACCAAAGCTACAAACAACGAGGACAAAATTGTCTCTATAGACCAATTCTACACCGATGCCGCCAACGGCGCTCTGCCCGAGTTCTCGTACCTGAACCCTTCCTGCTGCGGTGTTGGTACCACCTCCATGCATGACAGCGGTCTCATATCCGACGGCGAGGCCTTCATCAAGAAGGTCTATGAGTCTCTCCGTGCCGGCCCTCAGTGGGAGGAAACTCTCTTCGTCCTGACCTTCGACGAGAGCGGTGGCTTCCACGACCACGTTTCCCCGCCCCTGGCCACTCGCCCCGACAACCTGACCTACACCGAGAAGGCCCCCAACGGCGAGGAGTACACTTACGAGTTTAACCGTCTCGGTGGCCGTATTCCCACTCTTCTCATCTCCCCTTGGGTCGGCAAGGGGTACGTTGAGCAGAAGGGTACCAATTACCGCGGCGAGATCCAGTCCTACTCGGCTAGCTCTCTGCTCCGCACCCTCGGTTACCTCTGGAACTTCGATCCTTTCACTCCCCGTGTTGAGGATTCTGCTTCTTTCGATCATTTGATCCAGAACCAGCCTCGCAAGAACACTCCCAAGACCCTCCCCACTCCCCAGACCTTCTAGATCTGCAAGTGACAGGGCCGCAAGAGTAGGACTACCGTGACATGACGAGTATTTGCATCCTCTTAGTTACACCATCTTGGCCCTCCTTTGGCCGGGTAGTATGGCCTCTCTACGAATTGTGGGCGTCTGTTCCATTCCGACACCCTTCACAAAAAAATATTCAAGCCTGATTGATGCAGGCTGAACTCAATTGAAATCGCGGACACCAATTGTCTCAATAGTACAGTCATTCAGCTTAATAGTTTCTAGCTTTAACTTACAACACGACAAATCAGCGCTCTGGATTAAGATTTGTGTTATTCTATCCCTTTCTTGCATAATCCTTGCCCGCCCCGTGTTCCCGAGATACTTTCCAGGGATGTCGGCTTGCTTTCCAAGCCATCGAGCCGAAAGTCTTCAAGCAGGTGTTTTCTTTTGGCTCGGGTTTCTCTTGATAAACCAGCATGAGTGCTGGGCCTGACCCAGAATGTTAACGCTCTAAATCTTGTTTTACTTTACAGAGCCAGCTTTCTCCTTGTAATTCTAAAATTCCCAGCAAGTCCTCCAAGCTACCCATGACCGAAAGCCGTGGAAAGGGGAAAGAGAGCCATTTTCGAGCGCCGAGGACCGCCTGTTGGATATTGCCATGAAGAACCTGCTGTCCTTGAAAACCCCGATTACACTGCGTCTCGCGCTGGAATACCGACCGAGTACGGTGTTCGTGTGTCCACATGATTCTGTACGGCTGGGCTCCAACATAAGCATCGTAGCGTCGTCTCTGATCCCGTGTAGGAATTGACTGGCCAGTTTGGAGTGCCTTGATCTGTGATTACGTCACCTTCAGGCAGTGCTCCTAAAGCCCACAAATCTATGGTGGACAGGCCCTGATAGGTTACTAAGCGAAGGAGGGACGAAGTCGGTAGGAGGAGGCTACAATAAAGTAACGTTCGTCGGCAGATGACAACTACGGAGGAGCAGGCGTTTATGCCCTAGCCTGAGAGGCGACTGTAAAGGAACGAAGATTGTTTGCCCGATAAGTCAAATAGATTATCATACACCGGGCACAACATCCCACGAGTTGGAAGTATGCCGGTTTGGAAACAGCCTCAGACTGCTTTTGCGGTGCAAAGAGAGGGCGTCGCAAGTGACAGATGCTAAAATTTTCATAATATTATTCATCGTTACTCTGGGTTGAAAAGGTATGCTTGACTTACACCATCTGAGTTTTGCTAAATGAAATCCGATCCAGGAAATCTCCGACACATTTTTTAGCACTTAACAAAAGAGCATGTCAATTCACTTGTACGTAGCCGATTGCATGGATTTGATCTCAAAATCGGCAATGGCCATATTCTAAAACGTCTTGACGCGCAAGGGCTGTTAGGGTCTCGCCTGGCCCGAAAAGAATCAAGCACCTTAGACATTTACAAGGTTTTGTATTGAATCGGTTAACAGAATGTCTAGACCTCCATCACCAAACCTTGATGCTTCCCTATTGAAATAGCTTATTTGAAGTTGCTTCGATCACATCAGATAGCATCTGATACTTTCACACCCAGCCAATGGGCGAAATGAGCTTGATTGTCGCAAGTTAGACCATGATCAATATGTTAGGATATAAGGGCTCGAGATACTATTCAAAGCATTATGGATATTGGGTGCCATGAATAGAAACGATCGACGAATTATACACCCACTAGCAGTATGTCGAATCAGCTTCTCGATGAGACGATTTTTACCATATCTATTGTTGAAGAGTCTTATGACGGGAAAGAAAACTCCTGGCAATTGAAACTGATAACAAATTTCGTACAACCAGCATTCTACGAGTTGAAGTATCCTTTATCCTCAGCCCAGGATGCTGAATTAGAATGGTATCTCGAGCATTACGCCACGGAAGACCGATTTTCAGAGTTAACAGTACGGAGCGCGTTACGAATTCTGAAATTATATCGAAATGCATTACTCCGTGCTCTTCGGGTTGTGCTTGCTTTCCTTCAACCCGATGATGTGTCGCTCCACCGTCGAAACACTCTACGCCTTCTAGTTCAAAGCCAAAATACCGACACCCACTTTCAATCAGTTCACTGGGAACTGTTAGAGGATCAGTCATTGTGGTCTAGATACCTGTCAAAGGCATCAGTGGTTCGTATCGTTGGCGGAGCCCAGATTGTGCGGCAGCCGTCCGGAACATACAACGTCTTGTTCGTAAGCGAAAGGGCAAGCAATGCTGATCACCCACTCTACCTCATTTCACGGCCTTTCTGGGAATTGGTAAATAATCACGATGCCCTGAAGCGTCACATCAATATTCATTTCTGCCGGCCAGGCTCCATTGAAAGACTAAAGCAGCTGCTGGAAAGGCCCGGGGGATCTTTTTCTGTAGTCCACTTGGACATTCACGGAGTTGTGGGCAGCGAAAGGTTTGATTTTCCATCAACAACAACGATGTTTTCCTACTAGCTAACAAAACTAGATCGGGATTCCGCTTCTCACCGAACAAAGATGGTCGAGCCATCGTGGATGCAGAAGAAATTGCTTCCGTTCTCGCAAATACCGGAATCCAAACGGTCGTCCTAAATGCTTACTGGAGTGCACACAGCTCGCGTCGCAATGCAAAAAATCTGGCTTATGCCCTTTGTCAGAAAGGAATCGAGAATGTAGTTGCGATGTCGTCCACCGTCACAGCCTCTACCGCATGCACTTTTATCAAAGAAATGTATACAGAGTTCTACGTTAATCACCAAAGCCTCTCAGAACCTGTTTATCTAGCAAGAGACTCCCTCAGGCGTCGGCTATGGAGACCAGGGCGATTTGGAAGTCGCATCACCCTGCAAGACGAGTTTGCTCCAGTATTCTACAGCCAGGAAGAGAGTGACCTTCGATGGGACCTGTTGCAATATAAGGAATTGGCAGTCAGACCCGCCGGGCTACCTCCGACAGAGTATCATAGAATAAATGAGTACGGTCTCCGCGCAATTGAACAAGCTGCTTCGACAGACTCTGTCGTCCTTCTTTCGGAGGACGGTGGAGTTAGCAAATTGTGCCTTGCGTCCCAATTAGCTCTGTGGTGGCAACAGACTGGGTTCGTAGAAAGTTACCGTATCCTCAGTGCATTTACCGACAAAGATACGTTGCTAAGTGACAATATCTACACCTGGATCGCTGCAAGAGACAGCTCGAGCGGGGAAGATACCTATCTCTCAGGTCGCCGGCTTCTCGTTATCGACGACTTCGAAAATTTCCTGTTCATGTTCAAGTTTGTTCTGCAGACCGAGGAGAGAATCGAAAGAATAAAGGTCGTTGTCCAAGAACTAATATCGATTTTTCGGGCTCCTGGGAACCGCGCGATTTTGCTCCTCATCTCGCGTATTACGCCTTCCCTTCCCTTCTCCACGAGATCCAGCCGCCCATACAAAAGATTACTCTGCCTAGCTAGAACCTTGACGACGCTTTTAGCCTAGGATGTTCAATCCTTGATGCCTGTGGTGCCCGCTACGATAGTGCAGTAGATGCAAAGCGGCTGTCAGATTAGCTAGAGGATAGATAGCCAAAATCGACGTCCTCTTGTCTTGAAAGGTCTGCTACCGCTAGTCTCTGAGACTCCAGGCAGAAGAGTTCAGGAGCTATTGACTCCGTTTACCTCTACATACCCTACGTCCCGCCAACCCAGTTTCTCTGACGATGAGAATCTATTTATTGACTTCTATCGAAGAGCTATCCATCACCACGACCGAATCCGTACGTTGAAGTCTTACAGCTTGGTTTTGTTCCGAAGCTTGATTCTTCAGCTGAAGGCTACTTCACTTCTCTTCTATCGTTTCTTTCTCAGCTTTGCCGTTTTCCAATCATATTTCCCGTACAGTCATGCACACAATTAGGGGAGGCTTCTATCTCACAAGGGGTTCTGTACTCGAGCATCAATCACAGAGCCAATCTTAGAAAGCCTGGGGCGCGTTGCCTACGTACGGACACTTCTAGCCTGACTGTCGACGGAGACGTAGCTGATAACATGAATAAATTGAGATCGGGGTTAGGGGCCTTCATCCTCCGTCTAGGAGAAACCGGACTGGTACAGTATCACAGGCTGCCATCTTCCTGTGATAATAAATATGCATTAAAACTTCATCCTTTGCTTCTTTGTCTCCTGGAACTAGAGATAGCAAGGGATGAAAACCTTGATTTCGGTGTCACGATGCGCCTGCTTTCAGAAGCCTTCATTCAGTTGTGTAATCACCTTGGCGTTCATCTACCTGAATTGGCTTCCCTCGAAAACTACAGGATTCGTTTAGAACTCGACCAGTTCAATTTTCCGAACGCATTAAGCATTATAGTATCACAAGCCCACTTTAGGATTCATCATTACTCTATTATAGATGCTATCTTTGCAGCAGAGTAGGACTATCTATCACCCAAGTCTCGACCTAATATAATCGATGCATTAGACTGCGTCCTTAGGTCAATCGAACAGAATAACGCAGAAGGCTATCCAAATACTACACCGAATATAAGCAGGCCAAATATCTCTGCGTTCTCTCAGGGTCTTAGAGTTGCTTATAAACTTTGCACTTTCCTTCCCCCAACGGAGAAAAAGAAGCGCCGAGGGTTCGCCCAAAGAGGGTTGTCCTTATTGGAGGAAGGCCCTGAGTATCTAACTTCTACAAATCTGTCACGCTTATAGGAATATTGCCTACGGTGTTGTATTGCGGAAATTGATATCGCCGCCTTGGGCATCTCAAGTCCACAGGTATATTTCCGAGTTCAGGAGCTTCTGGGGACATCCTGCCTGGAAGACATTAGACAACATCAAATCTACTTCACCCAATCACGACACAATCTATACACTAATGCTCTTCATAGCATTATTCAAGTTTGTGTCAGTCTCCCAATATCCCAGTCGCCTATAGAATCAGGCCAACACGGACGAGAGTTACTTAGCGGGTTGCGATCGATTGCGGAAACACGGAACATTACCACTAGACTCCAGGAAACAGCAATGGTTAGAATAATCGAGGAGACCCGTAATAGGTCTGCAACAACTCGTGACCAGTCAGTCTTAGAACTATCGCAGTCATTAGCCTCATATTGTGATGAATGCAATGTACGATACGACACACCAACTATATCGGCACTCACAAAATACACTAGACGACGAAGCCATGGACTTGGTATATGCAGAATCTTTGAAATTTGATCTAGAGACTATGCAACGAGCTAAAGATCAGAATAGCGCGCTTAATAAGATCTAGGCGATGATTTCGATATTTGACAAAGCTCTCAACGTTGGCGACATCGAGCAGGCAAGCCGCTTCTATCAAAAAATATTGACCCGAGTCTATGGAATTTCTACGGATGAATTTGATGAATCTGACTTCCAACGAATATACAAGTTGATTGCGAGATGATCACGGGATTTAGGCATTGCCTTCCTACACAGATACGCAAGCGCGACAAAACAGGAGGCCTTTGCCAGGCACGTTCTACAAATCTCTTCAGTTACTGGCTTTGCGAAGCACATTTTACAGCCTTCTTCAAGCCCTTTGGATATACTATTGGTCCAACGCGCCATCCAATACTTCAAAAGCTGTGTTGAGCTGATGAAGAAGTGCTCGCAGAGGGATTTGACTTGCCTTCTAGTCCACACCGGTGGTGCGTATTTAGCACTCAATGATATAGACAGTTGTGTCTGTGAATGGGCCAGCGCACTGAGGGTTAATGATGAGCGTCCGTCTTGGAGGTTATGGTTGTCAATCAATCCCATTATATGGATCATAATGATCATACGAACTGCCAGCAAATATCGACGCGATTTGTTTATCTCCAACCTCAGTGGCAGGCTGAATTAGCACTCCCGAGATCCTCGGGCCCTGTCCAATTTCCTGAATGTCATCGACACCCATCTACCGAGAGATTTGGCCCAAACCGCTGGTGTCCCGTCCAAGGTCATACTTGAAGCTCAGGATATACTTTTGTTCCCTGATAACTTATCAGATGAGTATACACACTGGAGGCATTCTTCTGACGCTGAGCAGAGGTGGCAACGAAAGGATACGGTCAGTGGTTGAGACACAAGTGCAACTAGGGAGATTGTGGACTGGGCCAGAATCTCGTATAAATGTGTTGGATTGAACCCTCCTAGGTGGCCCGAGGATGAAGATGATCATGGCCGGGTTAGCTCGTAGAGACTTAGTCTTTCTTTCGGGACAATAGTTGTCTGTACTCTGTTCCTGTCGGTCGTCACACTGCTGAAAATGACGATACGACGACAACGATATCGTCAAGGCTGAACACTGCCTGGAGCGTTACCTGAATAGTAGATGCGATAGAAATATGGATGACAATGGCATTCTTTCCGATCTTTTTACCCTACCTTTTTGTTTTTATCGAGGTATTCTTTGGAAATTTTTAGTTCTCGTGTAGAGAGAGGATAGATAGAGCTAAAGGGTAGCTCTTCGCCGGGCTTTATTTTAATAGTCGGGCCATGCCCCCGGGCCGGGGGGGGCACATAGTTAAGAAAGTCTTCCCGGGGGGGGGGAGGAATGAATTTAAGGTTTTAACCCCCCCCCCCCAAAAAATATATTCGGGCCCTGGTGGTGGGGGGGGGAGAGGGTTAGTTAAGAAAGTCTTGGCAGAAGGGGGGAACACGAATTTAAGGTTTAAATCCCCTCCCCCACCCCTAAGTACCTAAAATCTTGATATTTTCCGATCGGGTCTTCGAGATCTTTTAATATGATAGCCTAATCTAGCTATCTATCAAAAAGTATTAGTAGATTACTAGCTAGAAGGGGCTTACCCTATAGGGCCTGGGGTACGTGAATTATTTTTTGATGGGGATGTTACAAGTTAAGCGAGATAAGGACGGAAGTCTCAATTCGGTACTATTTGCCAAAGAATCAAGTCGGGAGAAGGGAGAAGGAAAGGAGAAGGAGATACGTGGTAGGAAGTAGGCCTTTATACCCCCCTAGGGAACTTCCCCTTCCGGAAGGACTTCCTAGTAAACATCGTACTTACCAGTTCGTTACAGGCTGCCAATCTTCTACATCCGTCACAGGGGATGCCAAGGCCAGTACCTACGGGTAAGCTATGCCGCTTTCGGCTAGCCTTCCTAAGCCTATATTACTAGCCTTAGCAATCTGGCAGTCTAGGGCAATAGGGCTATCTACCAAGAAGCCTTATAACTAGCTAACTAGCTAAGCTATTTAGATCAGGTCTTCTATATTAGGTAGATCTACTATCTAGCTAGAGGGCTACTGGTAGGAATTACGTAAGCAGTCTCTATAACGTAATTCACAAGCGAGTCGGCCACACAAGCGAGCGGGCCACCCCACCTGAAATCGCGCATTCCTCCAACTCTACCTAATTCAACCATCTACCATGCCACCAATTCGCACTGAATCTTCGCAGAAATCGGCCAATCAGGAGGGCAGGATATTATTGGCCCTTGATGATATCAAAAATGGCCGTATCAACTCTCTCCGCGAAGCAGCGAATCTATATGATATTCCCCGTCAAACGCTATCGCGGAGGGCGAATAGTATAACCTCACGCGTCGATACACGCGCAAATTCGCATAAATTGACCCAATTAGAAGAAGATTCGCTTATTCAATAGATCTTCTCTATGGATTCGCGTGGAGCAGCGCCTAGGCCCGCTACTATACGAGAAATGACCAATATCCTGCTTGCAGCGCGAGGATCTAATCCTCCTCCGACCGTTGGTGTTAATTGGGTATCAAATTTCGTGAAACGACGCGATGAGCTTCGATCGCGCTATTCTAAGCGATATGATTATCAGCGCGCTCTTAACGAGGATCTAAAGGCTATAAAAGAGTAGTTTTTGATAGTACAACGCGCGATTGAGGAGAACGGTATCTAATCGGAGGATATCTACAACTTTGATAAGACCGGATTCGCAATAGGGCTTATTTCATCATAAAAGGTGGTTACACGAGTAGAATACTACGGTCGGCGATCAATTCTACAGCCAGGAAATCGCGAATAGGTTACTGCGATCGAAACGATATACGCTGACGGCTATTCGCTGCCGCCCTATATTATATTTAAAGGCTCGGTCTATATTGCTGGTTGGTTTGAATCGTCGAATCTCCCTAAGGATTAGCGAATCGAAGTATCGAATAATAGCTGGACTACTGATAAAATCGGCCTTCGCTGGCTCTAAAAGATCTTTATTCTATACACTAATTCGCGTGTACGAGGGCGATTTCGGCTGTTGATCCTCGACGGGCACGGTAGCCATCTTACACCTTAATTCGATCGAATCTGTGCCGAAAATGATATTATACTACTCTGCATGCCTTCGCATTCGTCTCACTTACTTTAACCGCTTGATGTTAGGTGCTTTGCAGTGCTTAAGCGTACGTACGGTCGCTTCGTGAGCGATTTAGCCCGAACAGGCTATAATCATATCGACAAGCTTGATTTTCTAGTAGACTATCCACGCGCGAGGATAGAAGCTTTTCAGCCGAATATCGTTCAAAGCAGCTTCGCAGCTACTAGTATCGTACCAGTTAATGCTGATAGAGTGCTTTCTAAGCTAAATATTTCTCTCCAAACGCCTTCGCCACCATCAAGCCGACCAAGCAGCAGATCTAGCCAATTCACACCAAAAACGCCTAGAACAGTAGCCCAGCTACAAAAGCAGGCTAAAATGATGAAACATCTAATAGATCAGCGGTCAAAAAACCCTCTAAGCCCGTTGAAATTAGTGGTTGATCAGATTCTTAAGGGCCATGAAATTGCATTGCATAACACTGCACTACTAGTGAAGGAGAACGAAGATCTACGCGCAGCGAATAAAAGGAAACGTCAAAAGCGCACTCGATCAACTAGGCAGATTGCACACGAAGGGGGTCTATCAATCGAAGAGGGCCTACAGCTAGTTGAACAGCTCAACCAGCCGGCAGAAGCTGATAGGGTAGTATCGCATGCGCAGGGCGAATTGCCTAGTCAACAGGATCAGCCACGCAGGAGGGCTCCGCCTACCTGTAGTGGATGCGGGCAGATTGGGCATAGGATTAATCAATGGTAATGGGTGAAGTGGCCCGCTCGCTTGTGTGGCCCACTGGCTTGTGAATTACGTTACTACGAGGAGTGACTGAAGTAGATACTTTGAAACTTTTTAGTAGCTAACTAATCAGGTTTACTCTAGCGAGATAGAGCTACTCTTGACGGTTATTTTAATACTACTATATTCCTAGTAGGTCTACTACTGGCTAAGTTATTAAGGAATTCATTTTTTGGACTTGAAGATTTTGAATTTATATATACCGTATATATAGTGTAGAGTGACTACGTGACTCACGGCTGGCAGGCAGCTAGGTAGTAAACCCTAATGCTACTATCTACTAGGCTACTACTAGGATAGACAAGATTATCTACTGCACTAGTCTCTTCAGAAGTGTCACCCAGTTCACACTTTTTGTCCATGCACCCCATAGTAAAGACTTCGGTGGGCTGCAGCGACCTGTCCTGCCATTACATCCCATACCTACTCCACCATGCTTTCCGCTCAATGTACTCCGTACTCTCGCTAACTTATGTAGATTTCACCATCATTGATTAAACATGCCTCCCGTATCCCTGGATATCGAAGAAAATATCACCAATCTACTGTACTAGTCTCTTCTGCAGTGGCACCCATTTCACACTTTTTGTCCGTGCAACCCATAGTAAAGAGTCCGGTCGACTGCAACGATCTGTCCCGCCATTACAGTCCATATCTATGCCCGTGTGCTTCCAGACCATGTACTCCTATCATCCTATGTAATCATTACGAGGAAACGATACCGACGCTAATGAGACCTGATCTTATAGAGCGGGATGCTATGTTGACTTTTTCGGCTTTTGAAATTGCGCCTAGCGGATGTGATGCCACGTGAGGCCGAGCATTAAGAGGGCAAATATGCCGCCTAATCTGATCACGATGATGTAGCCGACTCGGGATGAGAGGATTTGGAGGTCTTTGCCCATGATGGTGGAACTTTTCATGGATTGGGATTGAAGATGTGGTGAAGAACATGATAAGAGGGCTCTTAGGGGTGTTTTTGTATTTCATTCGCGTATCTACAGGGATTCTGGTACTGGCCATACATCGTTTATATCATGTTTGACTTCACAGATAAGAGCCATTTATGGGGTATCTTATACCTGTCGCGAAATACCCCAACGAGATTTTGGGATAGGCTGATAAGCGTTTGAGCCCTTCGGCTCCTTTTCGTAGTACTGTTGGTTTCTGTGGTATGTCTCTTCTTGATAAGAGGTGATACCAGCGTCTGAACTGCTTACAAGCGCGTTGGGAAAAAGATCTACCCCGACCCATGACGGTGTGCTGACTACCCCGAAATTTACGTCCAAGTCTCGATACAAATGGCATATACAATTAAAATTGCTTCAGGCACTTGCAAATTTAATATCCATCAATCATGGGGTATGTACTCCGATGACCTTCGAGTTCACCACTTAACAGTGAATGTACCCTGCAGACGAATATCCCGACTCGAGCTACCAATATACACCTTGAATGTGCCACTAGGCACGACCCATTTCTGTGTCGCAACATCCCAGTAACTCAAATCACGTCTAGTAAGCTCAAAAGAGGCCAAAGTTGATTGCTTAGCTGCGAGCTTCAGCTTTTGGAACCCGCGCAACTGCTTCGGCGGGGTCCTAGGAGCAGAATCCGGAAGACCAATGTAAAGCTGCGCAACCTCAGAGCCAGAAACTGAACCACTATTCCGAACGAGAGCCGTGATAGCGCCCACCGGCTCGAAAAGCTCAGACGGGCCACCTGGAATGATGGGTCCTGTTGATGGCCCAGCAGCGGCAAAGACATGGATGCCGATGGCGCTATAAGCAAAGGTCGTGTACGAAAGGCCATATCCGAACTCGTAGCGAGGGACGAGACCGCTCTCGTCAAAGTGGCGGTAATCAATAAAAAGACCTTCGCTGAAATTATCAACCTCGGCATTTAGCCAGCCGGTGCCGTAGTCGCTGCGCTGCTTGGCGATCGTGTAGGGTAGTTTTCCACTGGGAGAAACGGCACCGTACATCACGTCGACCAAGGCGTTTCCACTCTCTTGACCTGGAATTCCGGCCCAGACGATTGCCTTGACGTTTGGCTGGGCGACAATGGTTTCAAGAATTACGGGTCCAACGCTGTGCACAACAACAATGACATTCTTGTTTTCAGCGGCGACGGCCTCGACAAGTGCATTGCCATTGTGCCAGGGGTCAAGGTTGTTTCTGTCGCCTTCATTACCTTCCACGGTGATGTATCTGGAAAGCCACAAAATTAGCATGTTACACCTGGTGCATAAGAGGTGTTTTAGTTACCCTTCGCCGGAGTCGGAGTTGATGAAAACCACTGCGGTCTCGGCTGCTGCAGCAGCTTTGGCCGCCGCAATAGTGTCATCGGTGGTGCTTTGAATGATCTTGGTGCCGGTCCTCTCAGATTGTGCCTGAATTGCATCGAGAGGACTGACCAGATACTGATAGGCAAGTTAGCTTTGGGGTCTATTCGCAAAATCGATCATGACTAACCGGGAATTGCGCGGTACCACTACCCCATCCCATGGCCAGCGTGCCATTATCGCAACCGCGGTCACTGCACGCATTGGGTCCATTTGGATTGACGACGGCATCCGAGCCAATTATAGCCAGGCTCTTCGGTCTGGTAATAGGCAAGACCTTGCCTTGGTTCTTCAACAGAATGACCGAGTCACGGGCAACCACGCGAGCAACAGAGCCGTGGTCATCAGTCACGTCGACGCTGGCATTGCCACCATTCCAAGAGCTGAAGGCTACCTCGGGGTAACCTTCATCTTGATCAAGGAGATACCAGGCAGCCAGGATTCGGGTGACCATATTGTCCAGGCGAGCCTGAGGTACCGAGCCAGCGGCAATAGCGTCCTGCAGATTCACTCCCCAGAAGATGCTACCGGGTGGGGAATTGAAGTCACTTCCAGGCATGGTCATGTCAAGTCCAGCCAAAGCGCTGTTAACAGTAGTATGCTGTGCATTCCAATCACTCATGACATAGCCTCGGAAACCGAGCTCGTCCTTCATCAGCTTGTTCAAAATAGCATCACTCTCGCAGGACCATGTTTCGTTGACCTTGTTATATGAACACATAACAGAGGCGACATTTGCTTTCACGGCGTTCATGAATGGCCAGACATACAGCTCATGCGCCGCACGATCGCCAATATTAGAGCTGATGGTTTCTCGGTTGTGTTCTTGCTCATTTCCAAGCCAGTGCTATTCATCTGATCAGAAAGGTTGTTCACTATGTAGCAGGTGTCACATACTTTGGCGCATGCTTGAACGCCAGAGTTCTGCATGCCTTGAATCGTCTCCTCCATCGCAATACCGCTCAGATAAGGATCGACAGAGAAGCCCTCCCAGATCCTGCCTCCATCGGGGTTTTTCCCAAGGGGTCCTGCGACTGGTCCTAATTGCACATTGACACCTAGTCCCTTTGATTCAGCGCCGATTGCAGCGCCGCGGGCGTACATCAGACTGCGATCCCATGTTGCACCGGCATTGATACCAGCTGGGAAAGCTGTGACAGGATTCGCGTCTCTAACACCAAGTGGTGAATCCTGCAAACACAGCGATGGGTAACCGATTGACTCGGCAGAGTATGTGTTCCCGACACAAGGTCCCCCTTCCCAAGTTACACCAGTCACGATACCGATCTTTTCAGTTTGATTGAGCTTGTGCAATGCCCTTTCGGCTTTTGAATAAGCTGCATCCCATCCGGCACTCCCCAAGCTATAAGCTCGGACTGCCGCGGTGGTTGCCAAAACAGAGAATAAAAGCTGTATCATTGGAAAGGGGCTGGAAACTCTCATATATTGAGACCCTGAAAAGATTCCGGGTCCTTGTCACCTTTTTATAGTCTGTCTTTCACGAAGGCGTCGAAGCAAACTTGCTTCCAACAAGACCCCTCATATTAGCCCCAATGTCCACTCGAACATATAGGCAAGTGCAAAACCCCATGACCCGGGATTGGGGAAAGCCCCTGTGCTCGGCATGACGCGGCAAATGGTGCCCAGGGGTCTTTCTCCAAAATTCATGGTGACATTTTTGAGAAAGTAGTGCCGAGCCAAGCATGCGACACGGCAATCAAATCATAAGCTAGTAACATGGATGCAACCAAGCCGTGCCTCTCTGTGCCAATGATTGGACGGCGGAGTTTCGGAGGAGGTCCAACACTGCGGGGAAAAGTCGGAGCAAAAGTGGCGGACTCGATGTTCAGGCTATAATTCCCCCACACATCGCTAACACGGGAAGAAATCTTGCATGGGGCTCGTGAGAAGAGGCACTGTTTTAATTCGATCTAGGATCCTTTACTACGTGGCCTGCTCTCGTTGCCACTACCACTCAATCTTTCCGAGGCTGCGGCTGGGTCGTACACAGACCGGAGCCTTTTTGTCCCTTTTCCGTCAAAACTCCAATATTGGCGCTAAAACTTGCGGGGCAGAAGAAAAAAGCCATAAAATCTGCATCGGATGATGTACATTAAATTGGAACGCCGATTTGGGGTTCCACGGTGTTTCTGAAACTCTGGAAAATTCACTGCGACCCGCACTAACTATGCACATTCAGAATCGACTCAGACCTCCTCTGGTAGATTCCTCTTGGTTTCAGTGCCAAAAGCTTCTTCTCCGTCAAAGATCAACGAAAATTCTTCCAAACTGTGACCTTTGGTCTCTGGGTACCAATATAGACAAGGGCAATTTCAACGGCAATAACACAACAGTAAACGACGTAATATCTCCAGCTTATCACACCCATCGCAACGGAAATTGTCTACTCATTAGAGATCAGAGCACAGATGCCATTTGCATGATGTTCATGCCCTTAGCCCGAAGATTGGTAGGAAGGAGTTCAGTAACGCAGACCCACGGCGGCTCATTAAGACCCGCATTGTAGAAAAATTGGTAGAAGAAGATAATGACTATAACCCCAGTCCCGAGAGAACTATCCTTGGAAACCCCGTTCCTGGTTGATTGCAGAGAGGATTTTCAGATCACGTAACAGTTCAACATCCCCACTATCGAGAAAAGAAACAATCTTCGGCGATCAGCCACTTCCATCAGCGATGCTAAAGCAAGAGAGAAACCAAGATTCAGCACAGTCAAGCCACAATTGATACGCAGTTGCTGTGGGTCTGAGATGAAGCCAATTAAGTTCAGGATGAGATGCAGGCAATAAGCGATCAGACCGTTACCTGACAAACTGCATCAGGCAAGGCAATGCGATGATGATGAAAAGAAGATGCAGATTGTCGCGTGTCCTGAGAAACTTGCTATAGCCAGACTTGGAAGCAGATTTAGAAGTTTGGATCTGCAGCATGATTTCCTTCATCTCAAAATCTACCAAAGGCGATATCTCATCTCTACCGATATATTATTTCACCAACACCTTCCGCACATCTTCATAGCCCTTCCGCGCATCTTCATGGCGATCCTTTCGCACTAGATGCCGTGGTGATTCCGGAAGAAGATACACGACAAGCACCTGAAGCAAGGGGAAGAGCCCTTGGAGTAGGGGGGGATGCGCCAGGCCCATGATGCATCCGGACCCATGCAGTAAGTTCCATATGTCACCCACGCGGCTGTCATTGCACTCAAGTACCACAAATTATTGTGGTAGCCTACCAGGACAGAGCGATGATTTAGGTACCCAAGCTCACTGACCAACATCCGCCACGGTTCAACCGCAATCAGGCCACCAAACCCGACGATCATAAGGGAAACTAAAAACATGGCAAAGTCCTGCGCAGCGCAATGGAGAATGGCGCCAATGACTAAAAGAAGCGATCCGATGAATGAAGGAAAGCGACGACCAGTATGGCCACAGAGCCACGGGGCAATGGGAAAGGCCAGGATTTGGTCGAAGATTACCCCTTTTCATAAAGAGCCTAGTCAAGTGCCTGTCGAAAAGCCGAAGAAGTGCTGCCATTGGCTCATAGACTGCAGACCGTTAAGCATCAATCCATCATCGCTGTTTTTGGTTGAAGACAGGTACGGAATGATCATCCCCAAGTTTAGAAGGAGGAGGAAATGACGCTCCTAGCACCACGGCTTCCCGGTATTGGCCACCACATTTTGAAAATTCCATTCGGGTTGACCGTCATCGATAGTCTGGACTTCAGCCACTTGCTTCCTGCTTTGTCGCCCATCTTGATGGTCAGTCAAACTCGATTGAACTTGGATGCCAGATGATTTTGTAAGTGGGGTTCTTACTGAATTTGGGGTTGCTGGTGACGCTGTACAGTATTTCTAACCTGCCTTCCAGGTTTTCTCATTCAAGAGATGCTCAAGCATCTGGAAAGATGTGAGGTCATCCCGTAACTCCGCGATCGAGATTTCGCCTAACAATTGTGGGGCTCTTTTCGGCATATCCTGGTGCTGGTGAGCTCAAAGCACCGTGGCGTACAAGGCTAACTGGCCGAGCTTTGGGTCAGGATAAATGAAATTTCCCGCATCATTAAGCCGCTGCCAGCGAGTGGATAACTCCGAGGACGTTGCACGAGGTTCCCAAGCTAGGGGCGTTGTGGGAGATGAGACCCTAATTCAAATCAGGGCAAGCGCGGTCTTAGTCCTGCACTGAATACGACCAAATACTCTGATGAAAACCTTCGTTTCCCCGAACGCCCGCTAAATACTTAAATTGAGGATTCAATTGCTGTCTTGTCGGAAGACAAGAAGCTCTCAAATTATCGGACAGTGTGCCCACCCAATCGGAAGCTGCAGATCGGATGCATCCCCAGAAACGACGGTATTTCTTCTACAGTGGTTGTTAACAAGTATTTGACCTTGAGTACTTGATAATAATAATGATAATAATAAGGTCATAGTTCAAATAGTTCATGACCGTCCAGCAACTGACGGAAGGAAGCTGCCTATTTTGCACATAGCGGCATCGCTGATTGTCTGCCGAAGACAACAAGCCAACAAACATGTAAAATTTTCCATAGAATCCCAAGCTACACTTCCAGCGACTGACAATATTGTTCTCTTCACTTTTGTAGTGTCAGATGTCGCAAAATATTATATCTGTCTATTGCAAAGGGGTGTTAACAGAGGCAATTCAAATGTTTTCAGTTTGACAACATATGTCAGAGCAAGCTGATACAGTATAGACTAGTATGCATGTTGACGAATGAGATCAAGGGGAACCAGCATCAGATGAATAAGATGATTGATTGAGTCAAAATAGAAGATGCCCCGGAGTAGGTTGAAATACACCCTGAATGGTTCTGGTACTTGGGGCTACGATAGCCAAGTTACCAGGAATACCAAATTACTATACAAAACATAAGGAAATGTGGGTCAGTCTGTAATCCACCTGTCCTAGCGGTAAGTTACCACTCCATTTCTTCGACATCTTTCTTCACCCTACATACCGTGGCGCTACTAAAGTCTGTGACCCCCTACTTGACCGCCAGCAGCACCGCCTTCCCATTATAGCCTACAAACCCCCTAAATTGCGTACATCGTAGTCGCGTATCACATTATATGCAATATTTTGATCATCGACCACACAACTATGCCTCGCACAAGAGCTGGTTTACTAGTGCCTAGCCCTTCAATACCTAGAGGGCCTATCCCTACTACGCGTAGGCCTCCTATACTACCTCTAACTACATAGCTAAGACGCAAGAACTGCGAATTAGACGTTAACCTACGCACTTAAATCACTACCTTAAAAGAGGTTGCAAGGTGGTCTTATCGTTAAATCCATGAAAAATATCTAGATCTACCGCTATCTACTATCAAAATGACTTGTCTTCGATCTCGTATTTAACATAAGGAAGAATCCCGAAAACGATCCGGGCGCCTAAAGATCTTAGATGATAATGAGCGTCAAAAGATCCTTGAAAAGATCCACGAAGATCCACGATCTTCGTACGATGATCTACTCTCTAAGGTTGATCATAAATACAAGAAAATCTCGATTACGCGTTTATTCTCTACGGAGGGTCTTCGGAGGTAGCGAGTTATAAAACGGCTATATCTAAAACCCGAGTATACTACTACACGACTTTCTTGGGCTTTACGGTACTAACACTATACTAAGGAAGACTTTGATCGAGTTTTCTAGTCTGACGAGTATATAGTTAAACGTAGCTTCCGGCTTCGGCTAGCGTATAGTGTTATGACATTTCCTACCATGAGGCTATTCACACTTTTCGGCCTTGGGATTCAGGCCACCCTAGGAGATCAGCCATGGAGATCAACTATGGCGCACCACTTCGGTGGCCTATCCCTGCCCTCTCACCGCTGTTTCCACGGAGGAGAGTCATCCGCCGATGCGCATACAGCTCATGCAAGCCAACGTGGTTACCCCCCTCGTGGTAGGGTTTACTGTATATAAGATCAGTGGGGGGGGGACAGGAAAGAAGGCCCCCCCCAAGAAACAGTCTCTGTTACAATCGGACTTAGTGCTTTGCTCTCCTACCTAGTTGACAGGCTTTCTACCCTGCAAGTAGACTATCTTTACATATAGCTTTATACGTCTATCCGACTAAGCAGTCTAAGACGAAGTTTAGCTAACACTATGTCGCGGATTCTAGGTTAAACAGATGTTCTATGCTATACTTTCTGGGTTACTTCGTCGAAGTAGCTTAGTAGCTCTATACGGAGACCCGGAATCTCCTCGTCAGGAGTTAATCGCTTCATAATTCTTGATTTATATTAGCGAATCCTACCAACTTTACTTATTGACCTAGCTTTAATCTTTCAACAAGATAATGCTTCAATATACACAGCACAGATCGTACGCGAATTTATTACAGATCTAGGCGGTGAGATTATGATTTAGCCGCCTTACTCACTAGTTCTTAATCTAATTAAGAACCATTTGACCTTACTTAAGCAAAAGATCTATGAGATTCGGCCTGATTTACTACGTATGCCAAATAACAACACTACCCTAGCTATTTTAATTGATATAGCGAAGGACGCATAGCAGCAAATCGATCTTAGTGTATTAGAGAGCCTATCAGAGAGTATGCCACGTAGAGTGCAGGCAATTACTTGCTGACGGGAGCCTCATGATTCCCATCCGATGCCATATGGTGTGATTCCTACGGGATGGGATTCTGGATGGACATTCCCTCCTAACGGCCAGCCTAACTACCCTGATGGTCACCCTTAATCCCTGACTACCCCAAGCCCTTTTGCCTAATCCCAAAGAAACATCTCAGTAAGTCCTTCTCGTACACAGCTTCACCATGTCTCAATCATCTGATATATTCTATTTCTCTGCATATGATGCGCCACGATCATTCAACCTGCTTCATGACATTCGTTCTTTCTTCAACCAATCAACCTTTGCATCCAGGATTTTGTTCCTCTTGGTCTCATCCTCCATCTCATTCGTCAGATCGAATTACTAGTCTATATTGTCTCAGCTTGCTCCGAAATCTCGCTATTTCGTCTACAAGGCCTGCTACAGTAACTACGGATCCTTGACCGACCTCTGCGTGAAGATTCGATCTAAATGTTCTCATACACAACTGTGTAAATGAAGGTCTCGAAACTGTCCCAGTACCGACCAGAAAATCTCAGTCTCTATCGCAGTGGGAAATGAATAAAATCCTGTGCGGTAAATTGGTGCGGTGATTAGTGCGGTAATTGGCGAAATAACCCCGCAGCATCTTGCAAAGGCGTTCCCCAAGTGAGATGACCGTTGGAGAAACCATGCCGGAGAACAAATGATCAAGATTTGCCACGCGGTCGGATATGACTTTGACAATTTCTGGGTGGCCGTGACCCAGGAGACAAGACATTTGGCCGGACGTCCAATCAAGAAATTTATGACCAGAGGCCGTGTAAACATAAAGCCCCTTACTTCCGCAGATAATATCCTTTCGGTATGTCGCACCAATATTACCGAGAAATTTCTTGACCTTGTCTTGAAGAGTATGTAGATCGACATCTTGATAGAGATTAGGTGCCTAATCTAATGCAAGGTTGAGAATTGCCATTTTTGTTTTCAGGTTAAGGCCCGCGTTTAGATTTGATTTGAAACTAGCGGGGTTCCAAGCCAGATGGTTTCAAACGGAAAGCTGATGTCTTTAAACGCAGTAAAGATGTACCATTAGATATTTATATGTATATGAAAATTGCCAGCTTTCTTGTGCCGTCTGCTCCACACTGAGGAAGAGAGACCACTAAGGCATGCATATGGATGATCATGATCGAATAGTACTAGGGAACTTGTTGGACTGGATTCCTATTGGATGACAGGTCGCCGCGGGCCGTGGGAAGTTTTTGTGGGGCTAACAGTCCGCAGATAGCGCCGGCAATCTTCAGCGTGTTAGTGTCAAGAGTTAGTTACGACGATATCACCTTCTTGTGTAACGGTGGACTTATTTCTGTCAGCACTAGGTCCAGTGGTACGCCCGGTGCCGTTTTAGCAATTCCCCGTACTAGAAGCTTGCCCGGCAGCATTTCCGATTTGCAGTAACGATGAAGCGCCCAGAGTGCCGGCGCTCATTACTTCCGATAGACGTTAGACAATCCCACCATGATCGAGCAGCAGGGCAGGTGTTAGAAATCTGCTGCATACTTTTAGAGAAAACGAGGAGTTCAGGCAGATTGATATTTGCCAGTACAAGAAACAGACTATGGATGAAGATGATTCCTTCTATGAACTACTGCTGATAATACAGTTGCTGACCCTTTTTACCTGGCCGCGGATGCTAATGAATGATCTGGTGCCTTTAGGTTGGCGAGTCTTCCAGCTCCGATAATTCACCGCGCCTTCGGCGACCTCACCTCCACGGTCCTAGTTTTGGAAAGCCAACTCTTCTTCGGCAAAGACCTTCAAATACCGTCAAATGCCGCCCAAAAGCTTAAAGCCAAGGTTGGAGAATAAAACAGGATATGAGGGCTGAGTGCTTTCCCCTTGAGGATGGTGAATCTGGGGATGAGCATGGGCGCGTTGGTACGCTCGGGGGGAGCCTTTGATTTCGGTAAAAGCAAATACGGCTCGCATACAGTGGCGTCGCAAAAGTCTGTGACCCCCTTGTTGACCGCTTTTGTCTCCGCTTTCCTATGCTGGACTAGTAGATACCTTAAGTAGTATAGTATGGTCTGTCACGTCTAGTTTAGGCGAGCACTAATCTATATTAAGGAGGCGGTCAAACAGGGGGTCACAGACTTTTGCGGCGCCACTGTACAGTAACATTCCATCCAATGATAAATTGGAGAAATATGCATGGAAGCAGTACGCACGTCTACATTTGCTCCACGAGTTAGTTGAATGATACCTCGCGGCTTGATATGGAAAGTGATCGACTTGCTTTAGGTCTAGCCTTCATTAGCGTCGGGAACAGCGAGCGCATTGGTTTCATACTCTCGTCTGGCAATTTCCGACCTGTTTCATAATTTTTCCCCTTCGGGTTTTCAATCCATTTGACAGGCCTGTGCCCATGCTACGTACGCCATATATTGAAGGAGATCATGCCAAAACAAGATAGCCCCAGATTAGAGGAGTCTCCGTTCTGGGGGCTTATTCAATTTCTAGACGTACACCCCGGTTTAATCATTTATCTCCAGTGGCGCCATGTGTCTATTTGAAGAACCTTGTTCATCTTTAGGCTTTCAATTGCCGATAGTGAGGTCTTGAAATTGCGAGATTCTAACATTTGTCGCCTTGCCTATAAATGCAGCGCGCTTCTTTATAAGTCAACCCAAGCTTTACTTTCAATTTTTATTAAAATAATACCAAGGATTTTAAATATATTCAGATTGAGAATGCTTTCTATAGTGTGGCACTTAACTGGCACTAAGGCTCCTATTTTGCCATCAGTGGTTTCTTGGGCGGGTGAGGTAATAGGCGGCATATGCACCAGATAATTGATGCATTGGAGGAAAAATCAGCATGCGACAAACCCCAATCCAACCATCGAAACTCCCAAGAGGGCATGACCACTCCTGAGTGCTTTGAATGTAGAGAACCTCATTTAAGCTAGGGCCGTTATATTGCTATTTATCCCCTTGGTGGACATCCAATAGCGACGGAGCCATTGCATGGGGAGGCCATCGGAGCCTGAGACGTTAAATAAGAATGGCGGTATATATGTGAAGTCGAACTCGGCTCGGCCCAGATTATGGTCGTGGTGCTGCTAGATAGGGATAACTAACGAAAAAGGGGTGGGGGGAAATTGTCAAGAGCGACCGACCGAATAGATGCACTTGTCGAAAAGTTCGCTCCGCCATGGCGTAGATTTCAGAGGTTATTAAATTCGTTCACACCTGCAGCTAGAATGCGCCATCTTGCGCATGGGCCCCTGCATTTCCCACGGTTCTCAGGGCGGCAAATTTCGGTCATACGTTCCTAAAATAGCTGGAAAGAGTTGCGTTTCTTTTTATTCAAACATACTTTCAACTCTACCAGCTGTATCAATTTTGATGTCTGCCATCATGGAAATCGCTCTATCGGCTCGTTCCTCTCGGACGAAAGCTTGCGACAATTGTTGTCAACGGAAGGTAAATGTTCACGACATCTACCTTGTGACCACCGTCGACGGCAGAAACCCTGAGATCTCACAATGATACTCTCCAGCGTAGGGGTCCAAAGATTCGCACCGTCTATTCCTTAGTCTCTGCTTTGTTACCTCACTCGACACTGGTTTACTATGGGCAACTCGACATCGGCAGGGAGAGCACCAGAGTATCTTCAAACCACTTCCTCAGCTCATCTAGTGAGCCCATCCTCACCGAGATGCATCAAGAGGATTTGGTAAGTGCCTGGTCCATCACTTTCAATCAAATGTCATCGACAAAGCTGTCCTATTCAGCAGAATCTACAAGCTTTATTATGAAACATGTCACACTTCTGCACCCACGACGTCTTTCACGAATCCTTACATTTCATGTTGATATGTACATTGAATACCTGTTTCCAATGATGCCTGTCGTCCAGAACGAGCATCTACGTCCGGGCAGCCAAGTGCCGGATCGTCTCAGTAGGCGGGGATACACCTTTTTGGTAGACTTATATGCAATTACTCGCCTCCAGCTAAACCTAGATAGACACACCTCATTTTTTCATTCCGTCCATCTCAGAGAGATATCTCCAACAACAGGGGAGGAATTATTGACTGAGGCCATGCGGGTACGAAAGGAATGCGAGGTTGTGGAAGAAATCGGTATTGAGACCCGTTTAACCTCGTTATTTGTATTTATGCTTTTTCAAATCCCAGTCCACATAACCACGCGTGGTTCTATCTATGCGAGGCTACGTCAATGGCATTTACGCTAGACTGGAATCAAAAATACCTACACCATGTGTAAAACAGATGAAATCGAGCAAAAAGACGCCTTTTTGGCTTCTTTTCGTTGCAGAAAGGTGAAGATGTAATCCCCTTTTGCTAACATCCTTGAGGCTCTCTTACTAATGCTACACTTGGACAGAGAATATGCCTTTTAATAGGAAAAACCGGCTCTTCTTCGCAGTACCATCAAAAGGCCACATCGTCATGATTACGAGGACCTTCTTTTAGCTTCTACTTTCATCAGTTGTGTTTAAATGGCAGAGTGCTTGGCACTCAAGCAGTCTGACATTTTCTCATGGGGGTGGTTGCAATAATATTTGTCTCTCCATATTTATGTATTGATTATTGGTCACTACATTTACACTTAACAATTCATTTTCGTTCGTTAAACCTCTTCTGGCCGGAATATCTTTTTCTCCGTGTTCTGTCTGTCCCCAGGCGTTAGGAACACAAAAAGGGCTTAAAGTTTGACCAACTTTCCACAGCCGATCCCTCTGCCAGCCATCAAAGCCCGACAAGTATGAGCAAGCCCTAGCCACATCTGTTATTGGACGACTCATGAGCATATATACTGCGCTATTAGCTTACTCTGAAATACCAAAACAAGTTTCGGCTCAAGGTAAATTCATGATTAATTTCAAGGTTCGTTCACGTCTCATCTGTTGGAACGTAACGACCTTGCTCTGAGTACAAGGACTTGGCCGATCACTTCCTGTATAGAGCTTCTTACCTCTTGCCTGTCACCGGAACTCGTAAGGAGCCTAGGAGAAGGTAAGGACGGATAATCAAGTAGTAGACTTTACCGTGCGGAGTATTCAAAACAACAGCCTCCGCCCTGGACTAGCTTGATCTAGGAAGCGGCCAAGAGGAACAATCGGCCTTTGTACTGTATAGCTACACCACTTTCCAGTGATGCATATGTGTCGTATTGGATCGTCGTATTCGGGTTCTACTTCATAGCACGCGATTCTCAATTCACATCCTTATTAAAAGGGCACTACAGGAGACCCCGCCCCACCTATTTACCCGCGTGAAACGGGTGATATTTGATATTTTTCTCCTTGCCGAATTCGCGAAAACTTGACTTCTACCTCACAAATCCCCCACCCCCCGAAATTTTGCCGTCTCTCGAATTAAGACATACGAGGCGTAGTCGTTCAGATTTCATGTAATTCTCTAATATACCTGGGCAAATCCCAATAGTCCGCTTCTCCGTGACTGATTTGGTTTCAATTCCGAACCATGCAGTCGCAATCACAATCCTTAGGCAGAGTACTTAAGTGTGATTCACTACTTTAAACAGGGAGAAAGGAACGATACTAGACAGCGGACCTTTGAAGTACAGCATAAAGGGAGGATGAGAACTCTTCAGCCGACGGATATCTATCATATCTTTCAATGCGGTTGATCTCAAATATAAAGGCAGATATCAGCTACCTTTAGCCTTCAAAATATTCAACCTGTGGGTATTACGACAACGATCAACATGCGCACCTCTCAAGAACTTGCAGTCGGAGCGATTGCCGCAATTTTAGGTCATACCTCGGCCATCCCTATTGTTGTTCATCCTGGTGGGGCCAATGATCTTGTTATCACGTCGCAAGATACTCTCGACGAGACAATTTCTGTGAATAATGCTATCAAGGCTGCTCCTCTGGCATCTAATGCCGCCGAGAAGCTTTCAATCTCTGTTTACAACAATTTTCAGAGTGATGGTATCAATATCTATGTCACTGGACTCGGTCCCAACGGGGATATTGTATGTCTGACATCTAGTGGAAGCTGGTATACGCCGGTAGGAAATAGCAATGAGACAAGTCCCCAAGAAATCACAGAAGACATTGCTATTCCTCTTGGCGATTATGAGACAACTACTTCGTTTACTCTCCCGAGCTATTTGTCATCAGGTCGGATTTGGGTCGCAAACGGCGACTTGACATTCTATACGGTGGTAGCTGCAACTGGTGTTCTATCTCTTGTTGAACCATCCGCAGTCAACCCAGATGATCCAAGTGCAGATGTCAACTGGGGCTTCGTTGAGCTTACGACGGACCCTGGCGGAATTACGGTCAATCTGAGCTATGTCGACTTCGTTGGTCTTCCTCTTGGTATTGAGGTTCAGGGCAGTGATGGTACGCAAACAGCTTTAGGCGTAACAGCAAATGCTGTATCATCAATCTGCAGCGCCTTGGCCACAAAATCATCCTCAAATGGCCAACCCTGGAATGAACTCTGCATGACTGATAGTAGCGGCAACTTCCTCCGCGTAGTAGCTCCTTCCGACTATATAAGTCTGTATCCGGATGCTTTCGACTCATATTGGACGGACTACGTCTCTCAAGTCTGGGCTCAGTACGAAAAAGTACCATTAACAGTTGATACTCAGGCTTCGGCTGGTCAGGTAAACTGTACTGTCTCGAGCGGTAATTTGACTTGCGCAGGCGACAACAGAGGCTACGTACAACCAGCTGCCAGCGACATCTTCGGTTGCAACAGCGGTCCATTTGCAATTGAGTCAACTGATAATGCTGTTCATCAAGCTATCGTGCCGCGTCTCTGTGCCGCTTTTGACCGATCAACACTTTTGCTCAGTGGTGGCAATGTACAACCCAGCCTCGAGTCGAGTTATTATTACACGGCATCACCGACAAACTACTACAGCAAGATTGTGCACCAGTATGAGGCTGACGGGAAGGGATACGCCTTTGCTTACGATGATGTTACTCCTGATGGCGTGCTAAATGCATCTGGTCTTCTCTCTGATCCTAACCCCACTGTTCTCACTATCACTGTTGGAGGACCAACGTCTTGATATTGAATCTCATCCAGTACGGTGCAGCTTACAGCTTCTATATTTTCGAGATACAATGTACATCTTGGAAGAGAATGATAATATCATCCTGCATATAGTCAACGTTAAATAACGGCGTAATTCTGAAACCGTATTAGGTCTCTGCACGGTGCGGTCTTGGTCCTCAGGTCGAGGACCGCGGACCAGACCGCACGGGTCTTGCGGTCTCGAATTCGGAGGTTGAGACCGCACCATAGTGAACCGCAATTGCATAATTCTGCCAAGACCTTCCCTTTACCCTAGTACATAATCAAGTCAGGCCCACTGGATTTTTAGGGTTAAATTTTAGTACGGGAAAAAAAAGTGGGGACAGGGCTGACTGGATTTAAACTCCCAACCCCCACTGGATTTATGTTTCGTTATCGTAGAGATCCCAGATTTTAATATGTTATACAGTGCAGTACCGTTTATTAGCATTTCATTTTTGAAGTCGATGCAACTAAGTTTAAGGATATTGTTCGGGGTTCGAAGTTTTTGGATAGGGTAACCGCCACCCGCCGACCGTGATCCATCAACCACCATCACACCAAACCACCCCATAGTGATAGCATTTGTTTTTCCATTTGAAAATTCAGGGGTAGGTTTCCAGATTCCACAGTAACTTCCCATTTTATTTTCAACCCCATCGACGCCCATTGTACATGTCAGGGTATTGAGCAATCCACAGTCCATATACCGGTCATACTTATATATTTCCACATTCAGCATGGATCGTGAGTACCAGGCCCACCCATTTTTTTGTGTCAACGCCGAGTTCCAGGTATTGATTTGCCAGAAATGTCAACATGCCTACTGTCATAGTCTCTTCGGAAATGGCCGACTATTTCATTTTCGTCCGTGCTCCCAATAGTAAATAGTTCGGGGGACTGCAGCGACCTGCCCCGCCAGGATCTATGTGTTTCCCACCGATGTGCATACAGCAATCGCCCGCCAGCCATCGGTAGCGATGGCGATTACCCGTGACATAGGCCACCCACACCGCTTTCCGCGTTGGGTTTTACTAAAACCCTAAAACTGATTTAGCGATGAAGATGAGTCAAGGACGCAAGAAAAGGAAATATATGTAAAAATGCTGGAACCTTCTGAAGCACCGAAAGAACCGCCAGGTTCTGCCTACAACAGGCGAGCGTTGGATGCTCGATCGCATCTTGACTACCGAGCCCCTTCGCAAGGATTTTATCAAGGACTCTATGAGCTCTATGTATTATACATTTAAGAACAATTGGTAAATACACGCTAATTTGAGGATTTTTGACTATTCATGATGCTAGCATACAGACTTTACACTACCTTCTATAAGTATAAAATATATATTTCATACTTCAAACAATATAATACCATGAAACACTCACTCAAATCCGAATTACTACTACTCATAACCTATAATCGGAGATTAGATTTAACAGTTAGAAGATTAAGTATACTTTAACTATAAATTTAGAATTATTTCATGTAATTTCAAACACTTACTCATACATAAGATGGTTATTACATCCTTATTAACTATGACATACTAGTACATATGTAATAAGGGAGGGAATCAAGTGCTTGGTCAGCTGCGTAAAAGTCATAACTATAAGGTACTAAAACGAGTTACTTTATATGGCGAGTTTTATGCTAGTGCGGGTAATATTTGGATGCTGCGGATATCCAATAGATATCCGCGGATGATCGTGAGTTGGATGTGGATAGTAAAGCGATATCCAATGTGAAGGGCTGAAGCCAAATTGATTCAATACTGACTAGGCCAACATGCTGTTTACAAAGCTTGAAGAATAGAAGTTCCGCGCTCCCGATGTCAACATGCCAAGTTCTCGTTGCACACGTGACCACCATCGGGCACTGACCCGTGACATCCAACATCCACAAATTGCGGATGCGGATGGTAAAGTGATATCCGCATCGCCGGATTTGCCGCAGCCTACGAACAGGTAGGCGAACAGGCAGGCAGGCAGGCAGGTAGGTAGGTATCTACTATCTAAGATAGGAAGGAAGGGGCCTAGTATCTATCCTTTACCTAAGTCAAGATAGATTGATTAACCAAGAAAGCACTACTATCGAATACTATCTACTACCTAGTTAAACCCATGCTATCATATGGGAGTACTTACACCCAGGTTGGGTGGAATTAGGGGGTTTCTCTTAAGTATGGGACGGGGTTAGGCAGCAACGCATCAAGAGCGTATCGTTTGAAATATATTGGAGCTAGAAAATGATAACCCCCAGAAAATTCTACTCTAAACCCCCACAACAGTACTGTCAGTAATATTACCCCTCTGCATTCCGTCATGAACCTCGATATTTTACTTTCTACTATTATCAGCATCAGACCTACGACCACATCTAAACGGTTGTCATAAACATAATAGCACTTCCAATAGATGCCCCTGGTAGGGTTTACACATTCAAGAGCAATCCAGAATGCTCCAGTTTAGGCCTACCTACGCCTGTTCTCCCAGGCAAAGTGCACGACCACATAGTCCTCGTCTTAGAGATTGTGCCAAGAAAGCCGGGTTGTGTTACAGTCATGACAGTAAGTGCTCAGACGTTTGTAAAGACATCTGCTAACTCCCTTCAGATTACCTCGATGTTGAAGGATGACGGAGATTACGTCTCTATCTCGCCAACATGAAAGAAAAGCTATCCAATCCAACTTCGATTCCCAAACCATGCTGAATGGCATCATCGAGAAGCCGTACGATACATCCCGAGAGTACCAAAAGACTCATACCTAAGGATCGATTCATACTACGAGGTACCAATGCAAATGTTAGTAGAGGAAAGAGATTGCTTAGGCAATCATTTAATGATTTGGCCAAAAGAACAAGGAGGTACAAGGGAGCTTCAAGATTACATTCGTCGTCTTGATTCTATTCGCGAAGAAGGGAACTTCTCGCAGTTGGCATAAAAGCAATCTTGAAAAGTTAAGGATTTGAAAAGTTATACGCACAAAGATAGACGTAGCTGTGATAGCCTTTACACCGCGCAGCGTCCCTCGATCTGGCCGAGCAGAGGCATCTGACCATTTTTGCAATTTCGCGAAGCCCGTGTGATTTCATTATTACTCTCATATTTCTGAGATTTAGGACTATGTCCTGCCGTATAAGGACAAGAAAGCCCGTATATGTGGTCTACATCCGTGAGGAAACTAACACTATCGCTTATTTTATTCTATACATCCGTCTTCTTGGACCTCTTGATTGATCTTCGAATCTCTCTTTAATTGGATGATGAAGACTAATGGAATACACTGGCGTATCCTTTCGAATCTATACTATATCTGCTCGATTAATAGCAGTCTGTTCGAATCTAGGCTTTGTTTAAACAAAAATGTCATTTTGCGCGCCTTTTGCGAGCGATTCATTATTAGTAAATTAATTCTCATTGTCAGGTTGTAGTAGATGAAGACATACCATTTTTCCAACCCCACGCAGTGTTATACATCGGTGTCTTGCCATCGGGGACTTGAACGTTGTTCCCAGTTTGCTCTATGAGTCCAAGTTACTTCTGGGCATATCGTCTAGGAGAATGACTGACTCACGGTTGAAGGCAATCATTTGCTTAGCACCCTTAACACACTTGCTGGTATCATCCGCACAATAAGCAGCAACTTGAGCAGCGGCGACATTTTTAGAGGAGGTAGACCCAGTGACATTGCATTTATAACCTGCCATGTACCTGGTTCTCTTGTTAGTTAACGGACTAGAACTAGTTTATGGACACTTACATATTGGGCTGTCCACAACCGTTCGGGACCTATCTGGTGTCAGTTAAGTAAAACCTAGCTGCATATTCATACACTTACCCAGAGCCAAGCACAGGTGCATCCACTAGGAGGACAATGAGGAAGATCCTCGGGCACTTCATAAGTAGCGACCCGTTTCCACGGGGTGCTTTATAAAGATATTAGGAATCTAGGCATCCACAGTGCAAAAAGCTTCAGAAAAGATCTTACTGCTCCAGAACTGTAAACACAGCCAAGTTCTCCATCGTGACCGCAGCCAGGTCAGACTGATAGCTGATGGCAAACGCAGTGCCAGCGGCCATGGATTGGTTGTTGGTGTGCATTGCTCCATCATCCTGAATGCAGTCGGCAGGGCTTCCAGGACCAGCCCAGTCTTCGGGGTGCTCTTTCCCGTCCGGCCATTCAGAGGTATACTTTCCATCGTATGAAAGTGTAGTCTGCGCCCGGTTGTGTGCAAGTTCCACCGTGAAAGTTCCTCCAGCTGGAAGTTGCAGAATGTCGCCATGCGCTGGAGGTGCTCCGTCACAGCCGCGATCGTGTTGGAACCACCATTCTTCTTGGGTAAGATTGTATAGGGGAGCCACGGCTGTGTTTGTATTCGCGTTGTCTGCCGAAAGGTTGGGACCTCCTAGGCAGTACATGCCTTTGACCCAAGCGACTGTGTGTGCTTGAGCAACAGCACTCAATGCCAGGAATAGAACGGGGTTCAACATGATGAACGAGGGAAAAATTCTTGAGAGAAAAAAGAAAAGCAGGAGCGAAGAGCGTAGTTAGTGTTAGAAGAGAATGAAACTGAGAGCAGGTAGAGAAGTCAGCTGGGGAAGTCAAGGTATTTAGACAGAAAAAACGACAATATGACCCATAGAGGCATCATAATAACTCTGGATGAGACCTTGCCATGTTATCCGGGGTACACTTGCCCTGATTCTTGGGTATTCATTAATTTTGTTTCAGGTTCTCTACTAAGCGGCTATAGCAGTTACATCCATACAATATAGATAAAAAGGCTCCACGAATATGAAACCGACTAACTGTTATAGGAGATTGGTCTCTCAGGTTCCATGAGAAATGACTACCCCTGGAAGCAGGCTTTCAAATTGAGTTTCGCCAGCTACGGTATTTCGGCATTTAGACAAGATTGTCAAGATATTAATTACGAAGGACCGATCGCAGTGTGTATAGTTAAGGCCTGCTTCAAGAGTAATACTGACTAGGGTGGGGGCTCGCCCTCCCCTGAAGCTCATAGCCCCCCTGTGTTTCGTGGTACTGGATTTACAGTCATATTTCAGGAGTATATGCACCCCAGTGCCTCCACCCTACTAATTTTCCTACTGGTCAAAACTTCTAATTGCAATTTCTACTATAGAGTAGCTAGTTCAAAAATATTATAACATCGCTTGATATAGTAAACCTTAGCCTTGCAAAACCTCTTCAACGCCGGCATCACCCATCTGTTCTAATGCGGTCGCAACTTCATTAACTAACTAGGTATTAGGATTATTAATACCCTGTAATTGGTAGATAGCTAATTAGATGCGATATTCAACAGATTAATTAGATTCAGGCATAGTGGTCGATGGGAAATGCGTGTTGAAATTGGTACGTTAAGTATGTAAATATGCGATATCGTTTGGGTGCGCAATGTCGTATGGGTGGCGGACCCTCGCGGATCCGTAAAAATAGTAATTTTTGTAAGGAGCTGGTTAGTATACCCTAACACATAGGAAGTACAGTGGGTGTTCAAAAGTTTGAAACACCCTCCCTGACCGCTTTTCTACACGATCACACCGTCTCCCTTGAGCTGGCATTGTAATTCGCATATTGTCGTTAATAGCGTAATAAAAGGGCTTGAAAAAAGTAACGAGGATTCAATAAGGTCTGTCTCCAAAATACGGTCTTCAAAAATTGAAATCCAACCGTTTTTGCCTATATTCCTGCGGATCAATATTCCCGGCAGAAAAGTCTTGGCACGGCAGAATGAGCAGGTGGTTTCAAACTTATGGAATTTTTGACTCACTATTCGAATCAACACTTAGCTCTCTACCCACTTATCTTCCTACTCAATTTCAACTACTTGAGGATAATATGATAGCACATCTAGCAGCGCGTACCATTACTCAGGAACAGAAGGCCACTATCTACTATCATCTTGATGAGAATATCCCTCCACGGCAAATCATTAGCTTAATCAAAAAGAGCGATCCTGCTATTGTATATAACCTTAGAAAATCCTTTCTACGTGAACAACTTGCTGGCCGTACACCAATTCAATATCTTCAAGATCAACTACTTACTTATCAATGGAAGTTTGCATTTGAACATGATAAAGAGGGTTGTATTACTTATTTTATATTTGCTCACCCTAATATATAGGAGTATTTACACCCAGCCTAGGTGGAATTAGGGTATTTCTCTTAACTATGGGGAAAAAAAAGGGTTACCCTGTTCGCACCCCATGAGATTCCAGGGCGCACCCCATGGGGCCTGATTTCTGCCTGAATTAGCCTGAGTTTTGCCAAGCCCGTCACGCTATTTAATTACGAATCTAACCACCCCCCTCTTTCAAATATATATATGTTCTGACGCCGTTGCTTTACGATCTTATTCGCCCGAGTTATATAAGTCCTGTGGGGTCTATTGCCTCTTCTATCGTATTCTTATTGGTTACTATTCTTTCTATTCGTGGGTTCTCACTGACCTAACGGGTGCTTTAGGGTGTTTTTATCTATTTCTACTCTCTTCGCGAATATATATTTCTGGCCGATATTCTTCTTCATTCGAAAGTGTCAGATATAGGGCAAGATGCAAGATGTCTAAGCCGTCAGGCAGTATATCAAGCCAGATTCATAAGGCCTATACAATAGCCAGAACGATGTTCTGAATCTCTATAAGCTTTATGCTATTATATCATCATTATCTAATCGGATAAAATCAGGCATAAACAGACGCATCATAGTTGTTATGATGTTAACTACTTGCAGGGTATTACGCGAAGCCGACTGGTCACTGTGAGTGGAGCTGCCTGGGGTTATACTTACCTAGTTCTACTGCGGATTCTAAGAGTATCTCGCATACCGTTGCTATACTAAGCCTTACACGGGTTTAGGTCCTATTAAGTATCTTGTAGAACGTGCTAGAAGTGCGCGCTAAGTGAGTTAGTTACTAAGCGGTAATACTTAAGTAAGCTCCCCTACTTAGTTATAGGTTAGGTTATCTTAAAGGTAAACTATAAAGTGTAAAGTACTAAAGGTAGTATGTGAGCAAGCGATGCTGCGCAGGTTAGGTAGAGAGGAAGTAAGATTAATTGATCTTCTTCCTTTGATTGAATAGGAAGGATAAAATCAATTCGGCTTAGAATCATAAAGATGAAATGAGACAAAGTAAGGTAGGACTGAAGCTTGGTTGATTGTATTAAATCTTGCTTGTATGTTTTAAACATTATTATTATCTTGGTAGAGAAAGCAGGGCATATTTATAATCAACTTGTCTCTTGCATGTGATCATTCTAGATGATGCATGATGATCTCATGCAGATAGATCTAGATGCATAGTGATCTCATGCAGTAGCTGTTTGATCGGTGGTTGCTTGATTGTACGATGTCATTGACTGTAGTGATGATGTAGATCGTGTCATTGACCGTAGTGATGATGTAGATCGTATACTGTTGTATACGTCTTACTTGATGTCATTGACCGTAGTGATGATGGTATAGCATAAAGCTTATAGAGATTCAGCCATCTTGTATAGGCCTTATGAATCTGGCTTGATATACTGCATGACGGTTTAGGCATCTTGCCCTATATCTCACATAGTAACTAAGTAATAATATAAGATTAATCGCGAAGAACTAAATATATAATACTAAAATAAATATTCTTATATATCTAGTCCTTCGTATTATAGTCTATAGTTAGGTCGGTAGTATAGTTGTGAGCAAGCGATGCTGCGCAGGTTGGTAAAGAGGAAGATAAATTAAAGATGATTAAATAAGATCGATTGATCTTTCTTCCTCTTGATTGAATAGGAAGGATAAGTTCAATTCGGCTTAGGATTATAAAGGTAAGAGAAAAGTGAGGTAGGCCTGAAGCTTGGTTGATTGTATTGAATCTAGCTTGATATGCAGCCTAACGGCTTAGGCATCTTGCCCTATATCTCACAATTACAGATTATATTACCTTTAATAGTAGTATATTACTATAATCGACGCCTACGGCGAAGGGTATTAATAATATAGCTTATAAGCAAAAGTTTATACTTTCGGGCAGAAACAAGTATACCTGTGAGATATTCGGTGTGAGATATAGGGCAAGATGCCTAAACCGTCATGCAGCATATCAAGCCAGATTCATAAGGCCTATACAAGATGGCTGAATCTCTATAAGCTTTATGCTATACCATCATCACTACGGTCAATGACATCAAGTAAGACGTATACAACAGTATACGATCTACATCATCACTACGGTCAATGACACGATCTACATCATCACTACAGTCAATGACATCGTACAATCAAGCAACCACCGATCAAACAGCTACTGCATGAGATCACTATGCATCTAGATCTGTCTGCATGAGATCATCATGCATCATCTAGAACGATCACATGCAAGAGACAAGTTGATTATAAATATGCCCTGCTTTCTCTACCAAGATAATAATCATGTTGAATACATACAAGCAAGATTCAATACAATCAACCAAGCTTCAGTCCTACTTTACTTTTCTCTCATCTTTATGATTCTAAGCCGAATTGAACTTATCCTTCCTATTCAATCAAGAGGAAGAAAGATCAATCGATCTTATTTAATCATCTTTAATTTATCTTCCTCTTTACCAACCTGCGCAGCATCGCTTGCTCACAATACCCCTAAAACCTATTCGCTAACTAGAGGTATTAGAATTAAATTAGATAAACTATAATTGCTAACCTATATAACGGAAGAAATTCCGGGCGGCGCTAAGTATAGGAACTAGTTTATTACAGAACCCTACGAGAGAATAGACTACAATATAGACGAAGGTACTACTCCCGGTTCTAAAAGCAAGTTATAACGCAGTCGTGAGGAGAGCCTATCGGTCTCGTATAAGCTTAGTTAGAATAGATTATTAGCGCGATCGCCTTTACCTAAGTTCTATAATAATAAGAAGTAGTTATTATATAGCCTACGCGAGGTAGATATAATTTTTCGTTTAGAGGGCAAGTATCGTTTATCAGTCGTTAGGACCGACCGTTCCCCGGAGCGAGAAATAAGGGATACCGTTCCGTTATCCTAACGAGCCTTCTTAAATAAGAAACGAGACCGAGCTAAGCTTTTGCACGATAATAAAAGTAGTGTGATCTTGGTAGAGCATGTTTTGCTAAATGAGTGTAATCCGGTAGATACCGGCAGAATTCGAGGTGCCTGAGCCGTACGGATGATGTAATCAGGCCACACGTGGCCGTCAGGATCACAGTAGCAATTACCTAGATAACCCCGAGGATACTAACTACGTATATAAAAATACGGTCTTATCTTACCAATTAAAAAGAGCAAGATATACCGCCGTTCCTATACCTAAGCGTCCGCGACGCTACACTATATACGCCTCGATCGACGTAGTAGCCTAAGCAAAAGTCGCCACGGATTAAGGTCCTCTATCTAGCTTGTCTAATATTAAAACAATTTCGATCTAAGGCTTCCTAACGCGGTAGATTTTTTTGTCTAAGGTCGTATATTTAATTACCTTTAAGGAAAAGTTTAAGTATTTCTACTCGCAAGGGTCTGTTAGGGCTGCGGTATATCATGAAAATAAGGTTTCTAACTAACATAAAAAGCAGGCCTACCGGAAAGGGTCCGGCGCTAGAAAAGCAGCCGGAACGACTCGATTTCTACTAGAAGATAACTAACTTCTGATTAAACTAAAGGAAGAACGAGGACTTCTATAGAAATAAATAGCCGAGTACTTTCCTAACAGATCGGAAGGTTCTCTCTAAGTACGATATTGTACACGCCTTAAAGGGCGGCATATTAGGAGTTCTAAGCCTAGTTATAATATAAAGGAGTCGTCTTTATATAGGGGTATATCCTACTAAGCGCTCCGTTCAAGCCGAGAGTCTCATATAATGGATCATTAGAGGAAGGACGCTATAGTGTTGTCGAGATAGCGATACGGTCCACCTAGGCGTAGGCAGCCTATAAACCGGTATTCTCTACTTTAAATTAACTATATCATAAAGCACAAGCTATAAAGCGGATATCTTTCGCCGCGCGGTACTATCGAGAATATCGGGTCGGAACATTCGCTTGGTAGCCACTCATTTAAGTCGGAACGAACGTCATACTATATATTAGAGACCCTGGACATAAAGGCATTCGCTCTTTCGAGAGAAAACTAGACTAAAGAGATATAGATAATTAAGAGATGAATGCCTAATGAGAGCAAAGGATAACATCTATAGTTAGTAAATCTAGCAAAGCATAGTCCCGCCATTTCTAACGGCATCATTTAGGTAAAGACAAAATGCGATAGGAAGATCTTCTTACTTCGTCGGATGCGCGGTTTAAAGAAGGCGTCTTCCAACCCAAGATAGCATTTTCTTCGAGAGAGATATGCAGAGTAGGCTTTCGGATTCGAGAATCACTTAGCCGTATTGCGATATTGCAGGGGTTCTCGAGGAGTAGATTATGAAGAATCTATCACTCTGGATATGCCGTGATCTCAATCTCTTCTACAGCAGATCATAGAATAAGGCCCATAATAAAATTGTCGCCCAGAGGTGTGGCTTGTAATATAGATCAGCTTCTACTTATTTCTAGCATATACGACCACCGGGTATAGAGGACAGGGCTTCCCGTACGCTCAGCCATATGCGAATCCTGGCTGTTGTATGTTCGTGTTCACCCGTTTTTTGTCATCTGGTTGGACGGACTGCCCTTGCCGCTTTACTCTTCACCATATCGCCCGAATACCCCTGAAGCGCTGACATAGTCCCTCGGCTATACTTTCCCTCTCCTCTACTCGCTGTCCCAGTGGCAGCGATTCCCTGGTCGATGTTAGCCGCCCACTCCACGGCGCTAAGCCCCCATTACTAATTGGCCGGGAAAGATTGACGCCCCATCCAGCACAGCTGGCTATGTCTTACTTATAACCGCAATGGTCCCGTTGACTTCGGCAGATGTACTGGTGGTTTTATACTACATATAGTCGCCCATTCAGTCTTATCACTTCTCCGCTGTATCGGCAGAAAGAATTCTTCTTATTTGCTGACTAAAAAAGCTGGAATCGGAAACCATCTGCTTCTCTGCGCGATTCAGTTGCAGAGGACGTATCAACATGGCAGAAGCTCTCGCCGTTGTGGGTGCTGTCGCGTCAACCATCCAACTGATGGACTTTACCGCTAAGGTCTTTGAGCGTCTCAACGACTACATCCAATTCGGAAGTGCTTTCCCCAAGGAGCTGTCTCAACAAGCTGGAGAGAACTTTGTGAAACGTCATGGGCTCCCGAAAATTGCAATAGAAGAACGCAATGCGAACAGTAGTATCACCTTTTGAACGACGTCGGAGCTCATCAATGACAATTGCCGATATTACAGTCTTTCCAGCTCCTTGGGTACCGTGACAATAGAGGGTGCGCTGATCTTTGGAGGAACAACAGTCTTGGTTGGACCACCTCTTGAATTTACCTGTTTCCAGAAACCACTGGCCTGTATCTCTCTGTCGTTGACTAAACATGTCCACCTGTTTGGCTTCATGATTAATTGACGACAGCCAGTCTAACATTGCAGATGTATCCGTGCTGGTTCGGCCTTCCCACCATCAGTACTCTGTATTGATCGAAATCGGGCTAGGGCCCTCCCCGAGGCTTACCGGCAGAAAAACAACTCATTGTGATTGACCCATGGTTAATACCATTTTGCAACCTATGGTTATCCCCGGCAAATGTTATTGAATTCATAATGGCTATAGACGAAGTTTGACACCGATATTAGCTGAATGGGACTCGTGAGCTTTTCTTAAGGATATAGAATAATTGATAGTTGAATTTTGAAACGGTGCATCGCTTGAAAAAGAAATGGCAGGATTAAAACGCTGTCAATTGAAAAGCAGAGTCGGTTTTTTGGTCTCAACACTCAGTTCAAGAAGATTTAGGTTTATGTTGCCACTGGGCCGAACTGATTTATAAACCGTCCCGTCTCCATTGCAAACGCGATGACGGCTCTGACAATTTTGACGTCGGGTTTCCATGCTCTACCATTTGGTTCACTCGCATCCCCTACAATCTCAGGTTTACCTCCTAGCATCTGCGACAATCCTGCAAGAGGACGGCTTTCGGTTGTTGCGAACTCGTATCAAACCAAAGTATCGAGCAACGGAGTTACCTTCTTGACCACGCATTGATTTGCGTCTGGAGATCTCACGCCCATAAATCTGTTTTCTAGCCATTGAAGCCACTCTGGAGATGAGGCGGCGGCTGAAGAATCGTGGTCAAGTCCCGAATATAAACTTAGGTGAACGATATTGCCTATCTTGCACGCATATTCGTACGCCTTCTCCGTAGCAGTAACATTCACGACCTCATCGTCGGTAGATTGAACAACGAGAAGCTCCTTGTATCCTTTTCTTCCGGTTGCCGCGCCATACTTGTTTTGGAATGCGATATAAGCTTCATGATTGTGTTGATCAATGGCAGGCGTAGAGTCAACAATGCCATGGTTTGGAAGGTCAGCATTCAATTCCGCATAAGAATCGTCGCAAAGACCAAGTTTGTACATAAGCGGATAACGGTCCAGAGCGGCCGGGGTGAGAACGATTGGTTGTATCGGGAAGTCAAGAGCCCTGAATATGTTCACGATCAAATCGCCGAAGCCGTATCCCACCGTAGGGGGCACAGCTGTGAGGAGATCATTCAACCTGGCGCTAGGAGCGACGGCAACTCCTCCCAAGTACTCGCCGCTTTCGGTGGTATTAATGCGAGGGTTCTCACTAAGTCCCCAGACAGCTCCAGCTCCTTGAGAATGTCCGACAGAGGCCCATCCAGTAGTGAAGACTCCCGGAAAGGCTTTCCGAGCAGCAACGACCGAGAAATAAATATCCTCAGAGTTAATAACAGGGTTGCCATACTTGTGGGAAGTGTAGTTATTTCCGAGGCCTGCATAGTCTGTAGCAACCACACCATATCCGGGAGCCGTGAGAAGCTGCCAGGAGTGATAGTCATATCCATTGTAAGACGACGATGCAGCGCAAGCGGGAACAACTCCAATAGTTCCATGGGCATAAGCGACGAGACGGACTTTGTCTCTTGGTGCCTCCGTGTAGGGAAGTGCAATAAAGGCAGTCGCTGGGACCGCTACTCCACCGACATCGACGGATGTGTATTGCATAAGCCATAACGACGTTCCAGGTGGGATGTCATACATGGATTCATTCTGCTGCAGGAGTTTTAACAAGTCCCCGGGTCGTGAATGAGTGAAGTTGGCCCCAGTTGCGTAGAATTCATAATCGAAGGGAACATTGCCAAATATTTGACGGTCCAATGCCTCGTAATGTTGTAGGTTCTCCTGGCAGAGACGGTCGCAATTATATTTTTCGGCTTGGGCCTGCGTGATTTCGAGGTCATTTGGGCGAGTGTAATTTTGGGCCTGTACACACGAAAGGAGTGACACCAGAACAATAGCAAGACAATAGAAGGACTTCATATTGGCGTAAAGCGAGTTGTGTTGACAGAAGCAGAAATGTAGGCTCTTTGACCTGGCCGTCATTCAGCGGGACTAAATTAGGAATGAGCGGAAAAAAAAAAAAGTGAAGGAGATGAGCAGTTTGATCGTATCAGTACTTGTAAGCCACTTTATAATGAATCTCCATGTAACTGATACGAGTAGCGATGAGGTATTCGAGTGAGAATGTTCCCTTATCCGTTCTCCAGCCGGCGACAGTGTGAAACAATTGGACGAATAGTCCCATTAACTTCTTAAGGAATGCCAGGATACAAAAATACAGTTCTTGTTGACGGATGTTGAGAATTCCAGTCTAAGAATTCAACGCGGCGTTTTCTCCGTCCTAGTCACGGGACAGTCTTGCACCTGCACCTAACCCTGAAAGATCTTACCAAAAGGTTTATTTGTGCGAGCCCATGCCACTTCTTCCATTTTGATGAAAGAATTCGGACCTTGTAATTAGAGCTTTTGCTCATATAGCGGCACCGCAAAAGTCTAGGACCCTCTGCCCTGAAACGTAGGAACGGAGTGAAGGGTATACTACCCTGCGCGACCTGCCCGCAAAACTTTGCTGCGCTTCCTACTGCCAACTTCTTCGCTGATCTTCGCGCTGATTTGCCTGTTCTCTTGCAAAGTCTTGGTTTTATTTGCTGTTTCTTTCTCGTGTTTTTGCTTTTCGTTCGCTGCTGCCCTAGTTCTATCAGGTGTAGCTCCTTCTGCATCTATATCCGCTTGTCCTGTTCTGTGGAGCTTCGGTATCCATTTTGCATCAATATTGTGAGTTTTCCCGTTCTTCATTGCTTCATTTCTTCTTTTACTTTTTTTCCTTGTCGCTATATCCTAGTCCGTCTGCGGTTTTATTCTATCCTTTTTGTCCCTTAATCCTTGTCTGCCACGTATCCTGTATATACCTGCATGCACGTGCGCTTATACACGAGTCCGATCCTAGGTTTTATTTATCCTAGTAAGGCAAGAGGGAGCTATACGGGTACGGGTAAGTGTTAGGTAACGTCACAAAACCTTCTTGTACCTGCTGTATGATGTGATCCAGCTTCGGAAGTCGTCAATGGGGAATGGGAAAGTATTGACTCGTCCCACCCCTTTGCCAAGACTTTTTATGGCGGGCTCCCTAGCGGGTACCCCCCGGTCCGGATATATTTAGGCCCTAGACGGCTGGAAGTGAATTTGAAAGAGTAACTGTTCCATTGTCGCATTTGGCTGCATTTGAATTAATGCTTTACTTTGAATAAGAATGTTGAAGCAGGATACTACATGCCGGATATTCTTCTTCTCACCCAAGTTTAATCGGCCTTTCAGATACGGCCCGTGGTCATGGTGTCTAGGGTGAGAGAAGTTCATCCATCTCGTAAATTTCACTCCTATGCCCTTCATTCCCGCAACATCTCATTGCATTTCACTGGTTGCCGCAAGGGTCTAGACAACGCCTAGTTTAGTCTCTAATAAAGGCCCAACGCGAAGTATGAGGCTCAATGGGCCGAACAAGTGCAAGATATCTGATTGGTCAACATGCCAGCGCTGTAATATTTGAGTGACTTCGAACAACATGAAGCGTTTTCTTTGCTTCCTCCACAACTAGTACTTACAGCGTTTCTTAAATATAAAATATAAATTTAATCAAGCTGCCCGGACTTTTTTCACTATGTCCACTCAGTTCTACTCAATGAGCACTGACAGAAACGTGTAGAGACTGTTTCAGTAACTATGGCAGCGATTTTCCTTCCCCTTGGTTTCCAGATCGAGCCGGCACCCCTAGGGGAAGTGCCGGCGCCCAGTGTACAGTATCGGCACCGTTGGGCGTGCTGGCAAACTTTAGTGGAAGTTTTAATAGCCTAGGTTTCAAGACAATCTTTTGCCCGAACAACGGCCTACCAAACACACAACGTTTCTAAGAGACAACGTCTTGGAGCTAAATCTAATAAATGATATAATCATATTTTCTTAATCCCTAGGTACCGTGCCTAATAGGGGGTTTGACTTACAGAATGATATCTTTCTTAATAGAGTATCTTATACAGGTTGTCAACGACGTAACAAACTTGATAACTGGAAGAGCTGACGGTGCCCTAACTGGTATTCACTTCGAGGCTGGACTATAGATGAACCTTCCGGCTATAAATAATACTTCAGTCCTCGGAGATTCGCTCGTACGTATAGCATCAATTCTATATAGCACAACTATTTATGCGGAATGCCTGGCGCCTACTAGCAATTTCCCGGGTCTACCTGAGATCCCACCGGCCAGCCTAGTGCTATTCGCAGAGCTTGACAGTAAGCTACTAGAGCTAGGCTAGCTTGAAAATCCTAATGCCTTAATCGTTTCTACCCTTAGACTCCTAAATGATCTCTTTAAGTTCGTTGCTGCTAGTACTATTACCCAAGAAATTCTGGACGACCCAAATTCGGTTTTGCGCAACTGTGAGCAAGCGATGTGCTGCGCAGGCAGATAGAGAGGAAGAAGGTTGATGATAATTGAATAAGATCGATTGATCTTTCTTCCTCTTGATTGAATAGGAAGGATAAGTTCAATTCGGCTTAGAATAGATCAAGATGAGAGAAAAGTAAAGTAGGACTGAAGCTTGGTTGATTGTATTGAATCGTCTTGTTGCTTATGAATATGTATGTGCATGATATCTTGGTAGAGAAAACAGGGCATATTTATAATCAATATTTTATGCAAACTTATTAAACTTGTTTCTTGCATATGATTAATCCAGATGCATCTAGATACATAGTGATCTTATGCAGATATATCTAGATGTATATAATGATATCATGTAGATAGATCTACATGTATAATGATTTCATATAGTAGCCTATAACTATTCTACGTTGAACTACAGTATAATTCGGACGCCCTCCATAGTTAAGAGAGCAGGAGCTAGGCTAAAACCCGACTAGCGTACACTATTATTCAGGAAAACTAACACTGTTATTCAAAACTCTGCTCCTACCACGAATACACTAGTTGCTTATTTTCTGGAAGCTATAGAGAAATCAAAATAATATTAATTATAATGCTGCAAATTTTCAGTCGCTTTATCCAAGTATTAGTGGTTTTATTTAGGGTTATTATTTCCGACTATAGAATATATAGCTATCTAGTAGTACGTATAGCTAGCTAACCTAAAAATATATTTCTAACCTTAACCTAGGTAGAATATTAAGTAATCGTACTATAACTAATTATAGTGCTTACTAGGGTATCCTAATCTACTAAACTCCTTATAGGACTTATTATTATAGACTAGCCCTTTAATCTATCTACTATATAGAGGCTATAGCTAATTTCCTCTAACTAATCTAATATACCTATCGCTATCCTCTTAGGCACTTTCTAGCTAGCACTATTAACAGATCCTAGTGTATCCGATGAAAAAGGATCCACATAGGACGTTAGGATAGCCAGTCAAGATAGAAGTTCTTCTAGCGAATAGGACCAAGATAAGACGGATGGACCTTGAATTCATAAGATCTTCTCTAGGTATAACGGTCAAACGAGATCAATAGGATAGATTGAAAAGTGCATTGAATCTAAACTGCTAAACTAGTGAGTGGAAGGGTGCTTAAGTACACGATTGGGCAGTTTAGGCAGCAGGAAATAGGCTAAATCAATGATCTAATCGATAATTCGATCATATATCGATGATCTGACCAATTGACAGATTAGGAAGGAGCTAGATGTTAGAATCCGTGGTCGATTAGTAACTAATTAGCTATGGTAAAACTCTCTGTTGAAGAGGTATATACAGAGGGGTCCTTCTGCAGGAAAAACGATGGTCCGGTCCGGGCCGTTGGCCGGCGGGCCGCTAGTCAACCAACTTCATATAGCCACATAGGCTAACACACCCCCGCAGGTCTTCAGATCGATAGGCCTAGTAGATCTAACTAGATTAGATAGGTCCTGATAGGTCCTAATAGGTCCTGATAGGCCCTAATAAGATCTAATAAGCTGGAGTGGTAAGAATTCTATGCTAATCTGTTTGACAAAAGCCTTATGTTTCTAGCGGCTAAGCGCTTTGGTTAACCTATCAGCAGGCAGATCGGACGATTTTAACCATTCAATGCGTAGGCGTTTAGCCTGTATCTCTTGGCGAATCTAAAGATAATAGATATCAACGTGCCTGAGCTTAGTTTGAAAGGTTGATTTCTCTCGTGTAAGTAGGTCGATCGTCTGCTTATTATCGTATTAGATCATATCTTGATAACTAGGATCGAATCTAATGAATTTGAATAGCCGTTTTATCTAATAGGATTGCCTAGCTACGTGGCTAAGCGCGAGTAATTCGGCTTCCGTGGTCGATATAGTAATAGTCTTCTGCTTAGTAGCCTTCTAATCGATTAGGCTACCGAATAAGCAGAAGATAAAGCCTTCCGAGCTCTTTCGGTTAAGATTATTAGCGAAGCTAGCGTCTAAGCAGGCGGTATAGGCGGTTATCTCGGTTATCTCTTTCTTGCTGTTAAAGAGGATAGCTAGGTCTTTCGTCCTATACAGATATAAAATCAGGTAATCGGCTGCGTCTAGATAGCGATCGGTATATCTAGTAAGCGATCGTGCTAGAAATTGATTAGCAAAGGCTGAATCTAGCCTAGTCTAAACGGCAGCGAATAGGGCCGATCCACACTTCTGTTAGTAAAGGTTGACTAGCCTAGGATTCGGTAGATCCTCGGTAGGTTAGATAGAAGAGAGATCAGATAGTAAGGGGGTAGTCGGTAGCTTTTTGCCTAGCAGATTGAATTTGCTAGCAATCTTTTCGATATAAGCACCTTGGCTAATCTAGGTCTTTCTTGATTACCGGTCTTGCGTGATTCTGATTCCGATGAATTAGCTAAGCTTACTAATATGCTTTATTTCGAATCTGTCCTCGAGCGATTGCCTAATTCGGTAGGTGTGGGCAGATTCAGATATATAGTAAATAGCTAGGAAATCGTCAACGAATACTATTATAACTATATAGCTATTA